ACACTACAGGAGGGTGAGAGACACACACACACTGGGAGGTGGGAAACACACACACACTACAGGGAGGTGGGAAACACACACACACTACAAGGAGGAAACACACACACACACTACAGGAGGGTGGGAAACACACACACACACTACAGGGAGTGGAAGCCACACACACACACTGGGGAGGGTGGGAAACACACACACACTAGGGAGGTGGGAAACACACACTACAAGGAGGTGAAACACACACACACACTGGGAGGGTAGGAAACACACACACACACACACACAGGAGGGTAGGAAACACACACACACACACTACAGGGTGGAGCACACACAGGGTGGGACACACACACACTACAGGAGGTGGGACACACACTACAGGGGTGGGAAACACACACACACTAGGGGTGGGAGGAACACACACACACACACTACAAGGGGTGGGGAACACACACACACTACAAGGAGGGTAGGAAACACACACACCACAAGGAGGGTAGGAAACACACACACACTACAAGGAGGGTAGGAAACACACACACACACACAGGAGGGTAGGAAACACACACACACACTACAAGGAGGGTAGGAAACACACACACACACTACAAGGAGGGTAGGAAACACACCACCACAGAGGAGGTAGGAAACACACACACACACTACAGGAGGGGTAGGAAACACACACACACACACACACAAGGAGGGTAGGAAACACACACACACACTACAAGGAGGGTAGGAAACACACACACACACACCACAAGGAGGGTAGGAAACACACACACACACTACAAGGAGGGTAGGAAACACACACACACACTACAAGGAGGGTAGGAAACACACACACACTACAAGGAGGGTAGGAAAACACACACACACTACAAGGAGGGTAGGAAACACACACACACACTACAAGGATAGGAAACACACACACACACACACTACAAGGAGGGTAGGAAACACACACACACTACAAGGAGGGTGAGGAAACACACACACACACACTACAAGGAGGGTAGGAAACACACACCACAGGAGGAGGGAAACACACACACACACTACAAGGAGGGTAGGAACACACACACACTACAAGGAGGTAGGAAACACACACACACACTACAAGGAGGGTAGGAAACACACACACACACTACAGGGAGGGTAGGAACACACACACACTACAAGGAGGGTAGGAAACACACACACACTACAAGGAGGGTAGGAAACACACACACACTACAGGAGGGTAGGAAACACACACACACTACAGGGAGGGTAGGAAACACACACACACTACAAGGAGGGTAGGAAAACACACACACACTACAAGGAGGGTAGGGAAACACACACACACTACGGGAGGGTAGGAAACACACACACACTACAAGGAGGGTAGGAAACACACACACACTACAAGGAGGGTAGGGAAACACACACACACTACAGGGAGGGTAGGAAACACACACACACACTACAAGGAGGGTAGGAAACACACACACACTACAGGAGGGTAGGGAAACACACACACACACTACAGGAGGGTAGGAACACACACACACTACAAGGAGGGTAGGAAACACACACACACACTACAAGGAGGGTAGGAAACACACACACACACCACAAGGAGGGTAGGAAACACACACACACTACAAGGAGGGTAGGAAACACACACACACACTACAAGGAGGGTAGAAACACACACACACTACAAGGAGGGTAGGAAACACACACACACTACAAGGAGGGTAGGAAACACACACACACCACAAGGAGGGTAGGAAACACACACACACTACAAGGAGGGTAGGAAACACACACACACCACAAGGAGGGTAGGAACACACACACACTACAAGGAGGGGTAGGGAAACACACACACACTACAGGGAGGGTAGGGAAACACACACACACTACAAGGAGGGTAGGAAACACACACACACACACTACAAGGAGGGTAGGAAACACACACACACTACAAGGAGGGTAGGAAACACACACACACACATACAGGGAGGGTAGGAAACACACACACACACACTACAAGGAGGGTAGGAAACACACACACACACACTACAGAGGGTAGGAAACACACCCACACTACAAGGAGGGTAGGAAACACACACACACACTACAGGGAGGGTAGGAAACACACACCCACACTACAAGGAGGGTAGGAAACACACCCACACTACAGGGAGGGTAGGAAACACACCCACACTACAGGGAGGGTAGGAAACACACACCCACACTACAAGGAGGGTAGGAAACACACCCACACTACAGGGAGGGTAGGAAACATGTAATAGTTCTTTTGGCATTACATTAATTGTTTTACATAATTTCTGGAGCACTTAAGTGGCAGGGCTGATGTTTTTTTCTTTATTGTAGGAAAATACTTTCTACACAGGTACTTAGTTCGGTTGAGAATATATCGTGAACTCTCTACCAGGGGAAGTGTATTGGGTACACTTATGGAGAACACTTAAGTGAGGTGTTCACTCGTTGAATAGTGATAAGCGTCTGATCTCTCTCCTGTCTCTATGACGTGAGGAAGTTGAGGAGGGATTTAGATTAGATTGCTCCCGAGGGGGCTAGTTTATTGGGCACCCCCTTACATCTTGTTCAAAGTGAAGTGCAGAAGCGTTTACAGCACCCATTCGGGAAGCATGCAGAGTTCATGCTTGCCTTTATGACTCATGCATTAAGGGCGTAAAATCTTGAAGGGTTTTGTCAGCAAGTTACATAAAGTGACAGAATGATGAGTGTGTGGGGGGAAAATTCCTGGTACAATTTATCTGTTTATGGCATAACGTGGCAGGTCCCTAATAATGTCAAGTGCCAGGCCATAGGCATTGACAATACTGAGGGACATACCTTTTAGTGTGATTGTGATGGCGTGTACTTCGGTAGTGTCGGCTTCAAGGGGGGCGTCAAGAGGTTGGTAGGGGACGTCCTTCTTGGCGTAGATACGTAGTCCACTAGCATGTTCGCACGGTGGTCAATTAATGTGGAGAACTGGAGTGGATGGGCCCCAGGTGCCAGCATACCAGAGTGGGACGGGGAACCGGAGGTAGTGTCCTCGGGTCCATGAGCAGGCGTGGCTTGCGGTGGGTGGACGGGGGCAGCCGGGCACACCGGGGCAGGCTCGGTAGCATGGACGCCAGCAGTGATGCCAGGCGGCAGTGGAGTAGGCCGTGAGCAAGAGGAGCACACAGGGGGCTACCAGGTTGTGTCAAACCAGAAGAGGAGGATGACTGGCTAGCAGCTGGAGGCAGGGGTAGTCTGTGTAGGTTGGAGATGGCGGTACAGAGTGTATCAAAGAGTCTTTCAATATGGTTGGTAAATTCGTATTAGATGGATATAATCTCTGTCATGTCTTGGGAGGGGGGTTGTGGGGCACAATTTCTTGCCGTCGGGAACGAAACAGTCGTCAAACCAGGAGAGGGACAGAGCAGTGAACATCCACGCCTTACGTGCAGTTAGCCAGTGGAGCTTGGTCATGTCCACGTTCTTGTAAGCGTGCGGCTTGCGGGCTGTGTGGATCACCGATAACTTGAGTTTACAGGTACCGGAGGCATTGGTGGTAAACAGGATGGTGATGCGCTCCTTCTGCAATTTCCTGCCTCGACACTTTCTGGCAGACTGGACAATGAAGTTCTTGGAAGGTAGCTTTTTCCAAAACAGACCGGATTCATCCATGTTGAACACCTGGTCGTCGGTGTACTGTCCTTCCTCCATAATGTCACGTAAGAATGGAGGAAAATCACTTGCCGCAACACGGTCAGCACTCGCTCCTTCACCAGCAATGTTAATGTTGGTGATCTTGTTCCTCTTCTTAAACCCTTGCAGCCACCCAGAGGAAGCAGTGAAGGGTTTGGGCTCTGCAATTTCCATCTTACGTGCCACTGTTACGTACAGTTCACGTGCGTAGTCCTGAACTGCCTGGAAAATGGAAAAGCAGTTTCTGCGCATGGTGATCATCTTGGATTTGACCAATGGAGGGAGAGATGCACTTCCCACTGTTTACATTATGCATCAACGAGGTTAGCCTTCCGATAGCTATCATTACCTTGGAATTTGGTTAACATAAAATGCGAGAGGGTGTTGAAACCTCACTAACATTAACATGAATTATTGTAAATTGGGTATACCTGTAATTCTTGATCATAGATCAGCGTGGAGTATCCAAGTTTCATAGATGACTGTCAAAACTACTGGTAGCTACTGTATTCTGTTGAGGGATGACCATCTAATCCATTTTGTAAAGTGGCACCTGGTTTTAGTTTAGAATTGCTAGCTGCTTATTAGATGAGAAAGCTAGATTGTTGTTGGGGAGTCTGTAAGATTTGATTCCATATATGCTACATCAGTATATTAAGGTAGGATTAACTCCTCTTTTGGATACAATTTCAAATCAATATTTGGAACATATAGAGCTATGTCCTCATGGCTTCAAATTGCAAGTCTCTTAGTAGAATGCATTACACCATAAACAGAGGATGGATGGAATCCTATTTTATGGCTGAGCCCAATATTACAAAATTCATCAACCCTCGTCCCTCTTCATGAATATCTGAAAAGCCTGCTGGGGCTAAATAGGGATTGATGACTTAAATCTAGTGCTGTGCAGTGTAGCAAAACTAGCTGAGGGAAGAGGAATTTGCCTGCTTGTGTGATATCACAACTCATTGCCTTCTTCAGATGGTGACTGTTGCTCTTTGGGATTTAGTTTGATGGGAAGCTGTAAATGAATTCACGAATTACTCTCTTCAATAAATGTCAAAGGGTCTCCTGTTAAATCCTATAAATTTAATGTGCTCAAGTCATTTAGTTCCAGCCCCTGAAATGGGATTTCAGGATCATTCCTCTATTTTGTAGTCTCTTGTAAATTTTGTGTGATGTCAAAAGACTTATTATTTTGAGGTAACATTTTAACTTTATTAATTCATATTTTATTTGTTTTCAATGTGTAGTTTTTTAATAAATCTTATTACTTTTTTCAGGCCTATGAACCAATGAGGTGACAAATATGGGGACATTCCAGAAGTTCTGCCTTAGGTGGAACAACCATACAACAAACTTGTTAGGAACTTTAGGCCACATTCTTACTTCTGAGCAACACTCCGATGTCACATTATGCTGTCAAGGTAATTAGAAATATAATTTTGCTATAACAGTTATGCTTTATTTAATAAACTTTGACAGTGGAAGTTAATCATTTTGGAAGAAAAACAAATTACCATACATGCATCAGTATATGTTGATTTTGTACCCAATAGACAAAATATGACAGTCTTGTTAAACAGAAATGGGGCTTTTGTCAAACAAATATTTGTCTATGGAAAATATTTTATGTATACTGTACTAAGTTGGTACCCAATAAGCTGTTATCCACAAAAGGGAATGACAGTATAACAATGTGATTAGCCATAAGTACTTGCAAGTAAATTTATTAAATTCGATAAGTAGCTTTAAGTGATACACACTCCTGACAAGAATTACAGGTGGACCAGCAATGGAAAGAGGTTTTAGAAAACAGCAAAACCGAATTTTCATTGAGTTAGAATTGAAGAAACCATAATCCTTTCATATTATTGACAGCTAGGCAAATCTCTCTCTCTCTCTCACTGGCCAATGATGAAAGTTACATCATCCAAATCTTGTTGCCTCAGCTAAATTTGATCTGTTTTTGACTGACAGTGAGTTTGGACTTTTTGGTTTAATAAAGCTGCAGGATCAACAACAGCAAGTTCTATATAAACATTTGTTGGCTGTGCACAATGTGAGAGTTTGTGGCTGTGGGAGGAGGTCTGGAAACTGTTAGGCTCTTTGCAGCTTAACCTGCATCATTGGCCATTGAGAGGAATAAATATACCTGTATATATTTATACTGATAAATCACTTACTTGTGGCTCAGGAACTAGGTATACAGCATCTCCCTGCTTGTGCCGCTTTTTCCACCCCTGATCATAACTTCAGCATAGAGGAAAATTGCATTTTTTTATCTTGAACCATATTTCATGATGTCTGTACAGGTATGAAGCTGGTTTACCAAATTATGGAATGAAAACAGAAATGCAGTGATTTCTTCGTTAGCCAGAACAATTGGTGCAGAGCACTTCCGGGAAAGAGAGATTTCCGGGTAATGAGACGACTCTCTCAAAACTGGGAAAAAAATCCCTCATCCCTGGAATTTTCTGGAATTTTCCAGGTAATGGAAAAATATTCTTGGAAGTTCCAGAAATTGCGCATTACATTATCTCTTGAACCCAGAAAAATATCCCCCATCTCCAGAATTTTCTTGAATTTTCTGGGTTAGCAGAAAATTTTTCTTAGAATTTCCAGAAAATACCCCTGATTTTCATCTCTCAAACCCAGAATAAAAATCTCCCATCCCTGGAATTATATGGTCACCGGAAAAAAATTTCTGGAAAATTCTGGCTTTGGGAATGATTTTCTGAGAAAATTTAAATTCCGGCCATCAGAGAGTTCTGGGTTTCAGGGATTACAGCTAATGGAGATATTACTTTACATATTCACCAAACCCCACTGATTCAGTGTTTATTATTCTGTTTTTTGCCAGTATATAAAGTTGTCCTCAAATAATTTCACGTTATTCGTACAGCTTTGCCACCTCAAAGAAAATTTTCATACAGAAACACTTTAAAATTTATTAAAATAGCATGAAATATAGTACGGTCTCTCCTCGACTTACGACGGGGTTCTGTCCCAACGACCAGGTCGTAAGTCGAATTGGTCGTAAGTCGAAAAGGCGAAAATAATACAGTATTACCCCGCTTTACGCGGTTTCACTTTACGCGATTTCTCATATACGCGGTGCCTCGCCAGAACCGAACTTTCACTTTCCGCGGTTCATCTACCCATATACGCGTGAAGTATAATTTTTTTTTTATTTAGCTCATAAAATTCATACACATTACCCGGCCAGAATATAATTTACATTGCTGGAATTCTTACAATTTGATGATCATTTTGAATATAAACATCATAGATTTTGCATTAGACATACAAATTTTAGATCTAATGTTTACTCTGAGTAAATATGTTATCTTTTGTGCAAAATATATGACATTTATATTCAAAATGTTCCTGGTCTTACAAGGAATCCAGCAATGTCAATTATATTATCCTAACTTTAGTTTGAGGTATTATTTATTAAAATCTAGTGGTTTTCCCCCCAAAATTTCTCAGAGAGGGAAGAGCCAGCGAGTGTAGTGTGAGAAGAGGGGGAGGGAGTCGAGTCCATTATTTGAATGGACATTAACTTGGCGGCTGTATTTCTCTATTTCTCTTAAGTATTAATTGTGTGCATGTACCATCATAAAATTAAGATGTTATTTTTACTAGAACATAGGTATTGTGTCGGAAAAAGTAGAGTTTGGGGGTCGGGCCAGTCTCTATTGGAATTAATCCCATATGTTCTGTTGTGTAATAAATGTATGTAGTAATTATGTACAGTAATCTTTTTCAATCAAATCCTAATGAAACACCAATGAATTCGAATACTGTAGCTAGTGTAAACAGTGGGAACAGTCCCACCACCGATTGTCTCTCATGAAGCAAGCTTATAAATTAAAGAAAATACTTGCAGTGTGTTTAATATATTACAGTATGCTATAAATAAATAAATAAACAAATAAATCGGTAAATCCATTTCAAGTAAATGGAAAAATTTTACTCGACACCGACATTAATTCCAGTTAAATAACAGATGCTTAAGTAAGTCACTAGTGTTTACACTAAACCAACCGGTAACATTTGATGACATTACTTGAAGTGAATTGGCCTTATTTTAAAAAACCAAGGATGTGTAGACAGCACTGGTCAATAGGATGGTTGGTAAAGGACTACTGGGTCAGTAAGCTCCCAATGGTAAGAGTCACATTTGGGGTACCGGTGAATGTGATCCATGTATATACTGATAACCACAAGGAAAGAAGAAAATACAAAGTTCTTTAGCGCTTTCGTGTACTTCACATCTTCAGGGGGGAGTACAGACTAAGGAGAAGTACATAACAAGGCATATATATACAGAAGAAGAGGGTGAGATCAAGTCCACAATGGTCAGGTCACTAGGTAGTGACCCTACTAATCTTCAAAAGCACCGCAGCAGTCGGTAGTCAGGTCAGAGGGTAAGATGACCCAACCTTCTCACCTGGTTACAAATCTTCTTAATTACGAAATTATCCAGTTTGTACATACCATTACTCAAATTCATGTTGACGGATTTGGTATGTTTAATGAGACTGGATTCTATAATGTTCCTGCTGTCAATTGAATTACAAGGTAATATTGAGGAGGCATTATCCCAGTCAATGCAATGCTTATTATCCCTTATTATCCCATTTCCGTGATGTTCATCTTGTCCGCTCCTCTATAACACGTGTGCCTCTGATTTGAACTGAGTAATAAGAGCTGCAATCCACTGAGTTGGCAATACAGGTGGGTGCTGTTGGAGCAAACAAGATCTGTGACATCCATCCTACATTGGGTGCCTGGGGATATCAGGGATTGTCACATCTCTGGGAGACTGCTTTGGCCTGCCTCCATATTGGCCACAAATGGCTGACTCATTTTTTATTAATGGAGAGGGCACCCCTCCTCATTGTGATGACTGTCTGGTCCCATTGACTGTTCGACACCTTCCGGTTGAGTGTTCCAGTCTCAGGGATCTTCATAGTAAGCACCTCTCCCAATGCCGTGGGGGGATGGTCTTAGCATGGGAAGATATTGGTAGCATAATGTATTGTCTAATGGTAGACCCTGCCGCCGTATGGCATCACAAAAATTGTGACCAAGTCCCAGGTTGCTGATCTGACTTTCTGCCACATTTACACACAATTGCAGGGTTTATATTGTTTCTCTTACTATTGACAACACAACATACATACCCTGTAGTACATCGTTTCTCACTATTGATCCTTTTTTTCTATTTTTTTATTTATTTATGGTCTTTTATTATTAATATAAATATTATTATCATGATCATTATTATTACATTATACAGTATTATATTTTTATTTAATTTTTATTTTTTTTATAAATTTTTTTAATTATTATTATTATTATTATTATTATTATTTGTATTATTATTATTATCATCTTCATCTTTTTGCCTCCAGGCCCTGATGTGGGTCATTGACCTGTGCCCTGGTGGGTTAATCCTGTAAAAAAAAAAGTTTTTATGAAAGTATTATACTAGTCTTTGTTTGTTTTATACCTTGCATAATTTGATTTTAGCCTTCTCAGCTTTAATTTTAATTCGACGACCGTAACAAATGTTACCAAAGCAGTTTTGGAAATGTTTTGTTTATTTTTCTGCCTCTCAAACCTAACTACAGTACGTTTTTTATAAGCTGAGAAAAGATGCCCCGCCCCCTTCTCATGACTTACAGCTGATTGGCGGTTTCAAATCTGTCCGATTTCGTCCTGAAGTAATGATGTATTTCTAAATGAGTTTATTCATAATCGCTGGGATGACCGTTTCTGACGAGAAAGATATTTAGCTAAATTATATAAAGATACATACATTCATTATTTTAAACTTAGGTATGTAGGAAGTTTATCAGAAATATTATACATGAATTAACTGTTAAACTCTGGTAGCAAATTCACACTTTCAGAGGATGCATTTAATTTATACTTATTTTTACCCACAATAAGGCATACTAAGACAAATTACTTATCAGTAATACAACATTAAGCAAAAACTTACATTTTAAAACATCAGAATCACATTGAAATATTTACATGGCCAGCAGCAGAGGCGGGAAAGATGACTGCGAACATAATTTTTTTTTTGTACTGTACATTAATACTCTTATCCATACTCTAGCTTTTGTCAATTCTTTTCAGGGGAGGTGTGGCGACTACACAAACTGGTGTTATGTGCATCCAGCAGTCACTTTGAAAAGCTGCTTGGTGCACTACCCCCAGGCAACTCTCCTATTGTTGTGTTAGATGGTCCACATCCACAAGATGTGGCTTCTCTCATACACTTCATTTACCATGGTGAGGTTAATGTTGACCAGGAGAACCTTGCATCTCTACTTAGGACAGCAGAAAGCCTCAAGATTAAAGGGTTAGCAGAAGTGTCCTCTGTAACTAGTGGTGGTGAACATAAGAGTCACTGTGATGGCGAGAGCCAAAGACATCACAACAGAGGCAGGTCAAGACCAGGCAGTTGCCATTCTGCTCCTGTTTATACTCTAGGAAACGAGTATCCTGTGGGGATGTATGGCCTTGTTCCACAAAGTATATCACCACATACCCAAGTACCTGATCCTTTAGAACGTGACCCATCACCTCTCAACTTATCGTTCAGTGGCTCTTTAAAAAATATTCATGATGAGACTCCTCAGGAAAGACAGGAAAGACGTAATCGTCTAGATGACCTCCTTTATGCTGCTACTGAACGTAGTAAAAAGGAAGAGAGAAGGGAAGCTCGTCGTGAAGCACGTGAGGCTGCTTTGCGCGAAGCTGCTGCAATACGTGAGGCTTCGGTGATGTTAACACAAGATCAGGCTTTACTCCCTCCTGTAGCAAAACGTGCCAGAACTACTGATTCATCTCGAAACACTACCCTTCCTGCCCATCCGGCATTTCACATTCCTTTAATGAACTTAACCCTACCTTCTAATGCATCCACTTCCCTTGTAACATCACAAAGTATCTCATCCACACAAACCTCTCATCCTCCAGAAGCTATACCTTTAACTGAAAATGCAGCTGTAATTTTACAGAAACAAGATGTTCAACAAGAACAGATTAATAATCATCAAGAAGTTGAGGCAAATACCAGAAAATCTCCTGTGAAGACTGAAAATATTGAGGTGTCTAGGTAAGAGTTATTGTAAAGTAAAAGATTCAGAATTTTTCTTTAAATGTAGCAATACACAGATATTGATTTCAGTCATCCATCCCAGAAAGTGCTATAATATGAAAATTAAAGTGCAATAACATGCCTTCATTCTTAGTGATGATGCATTTCTTTGGTCATATTCATATTCAATATTACTTGATAATATACAGTGCAGTACTTCACATGTTTATATTGTGACAATAATGGGTTAGGTTAGGTTAGGTAATGAATCTTATATGCATATATATAATTGCATTATATGGTATATGTGCCTCACATGTTAGCTTGCAACACTGCATGCTAATTCACCTCATACTTAGTACTGTAATTTCTGCCCCCTTTGGGTCTTCTGATCACAATCTTATTTCTATTAAATCAAACTGAGCATGTCCACCTCCCCTACCCTCTCTAAATGCCAACTATGGCACTATCGGAGGGTAAACTGGCAATCCTTGCGAGAATTCTTCTCTGACTTTCCTTGGGATGAGTGTTGCTTTTCCACTCGGGATGCCTCGGTATGTGCTGACAGCATTGCTGGGGTTATACTCGGTGGTATGAGTGCATTTATCCTATCTTCTACCAAAACTTTCACTTTACAATCAGTGTTTGATCGCTCCTGTTCTCTTGCATGTAGGGAGAGAGATAGGGTGTATCAAGTTATGAAATTATTTCCTTCTCCTGTTACACACTCCTCTTTCATTACTTCTAGGAATTGCTGTAAGGTTATTCTTCGTGGGGCCAAGCAGAATTTTATAAAAAGAAAGACTGCTGACCTGACTAACTCTTCTTCTAGTAAATCCTTCTGGTCCTTCACCAAAAACATCTGTAATAGCTTCTTCACTCCGTCTTTTCCTCATCTCTTCTGACCTGATAACTCTATAGCCAACTCCCCCCCTGATAAAGCCAATCTCTTTGGCACCTTCTTCTGCTCTAACTCCACCTTAGACGATTCCAACTCTATCCCTCCTACTCCTGCTCCTCCTACTTTCCTATAATCTCCACTCAAAGGGTTGCTGGTGTATTATCCAGGTTGGATGTGAGTAAGGTGCATGGACCGGACGGAATACCCCCTCGTGTTCTGAGGGAGTGTGCTGAAGCCCTGGCCCCTGTGCTTGCTCGCCTCTTTTGCCTTTTCCTCAAAACCCAAACTTTTCCTTCTTCTTGGAAGCATGCCTTGGTTCAGCCCATCCCGAAGAAGGGTGACCATTCTAATCCCTCTAACTATCGCCCCATTGCCCTCACTTCATCCCTCTTTAAGATTTTCGAAACTATCTTAAACTCTCATTTTCTCCATCACCTTGAACGCCTTTCTCTTTGTCGGATCACCAGTATGGCTTTCGCCAGGCGAGATCTACTGGTGATCTGCTCTCCTACTGCACCATCTTTGGTCATCTTTTCTTAGGGATTATGGGAAATTTTCGTTGTGGCCCTCAACATCTCCAAAGCATGTGACAGGGTATGGCACAAGTCTTTGCTTTCTAAGCTTCCTTCCTATGGTTTCTCTCCCCCACTTTGTTCTCTAATTTCTAGCTTCCTTGAGAACCGATGCATGACAGTTGTTGTCGAGGGATCTAACTCTCGTTCTTTCTCTACCAATAGTGGTTCCCACAGTGTTCTGTTCTTTCACCTACTCTCTTCCTTCTGTTTATCAATGATTTACTTCACACTACGACTAATTCTATCTATTTATCTTGTTTATTTTTAAGGTATTCCACATCCTCAATAATATTTGAGATAAGTCTTGTTAATAGCAAGTAATTCATACTTGACATTGATAGTAGCTACTGTATCATATGAACAATTTAATATTAATTTGTATTTACCAAAGCAACTCACAAGTAGTTTATGTTTAACTTACATGGTAGCCTAAACAATAAACAAAAAATTTGTGCATCACAGCTTGAAGGTCAGGAGAGTTAGTCGACTGCTGAAGTGCTTTGGAAAGACTCCATTGACACCCTTTACTGTGAATGCATGAAAAAGAATACATAACATAAAATATAAGTTGAATACTGTGTTTGACACACAAGGATACCTATATTATTTATATTAATTTTTTGGATATGCACATAAAAATTATCCTGAGGACGGGCGTAGCATGTGTCTCAAGTGCCCGGGAGCCACTATCGCCCCACCCTTATTTCCGCTCCCAAGTTTACATTCTCAGTAGATAGATGGACAGATAGATAATACACAGACTAACGGGGACCGGTGGTAGAAGCGGTACAGTTCTTGCCTCGCAAGCGAGATGTCACGGGTTCGATTCCCGGGCCGGTGGAAGTTGTTTGGACTTACTTCCTAGCCCCCATTAGTCCCTGTTCACCTAGCAGTAAAGTAGGTACCTGGTGTAAGTCGAAAGTTGCGAATTCGTATTCAGGGAGTTGTTGGAGCTTCCAATAACTTGATGACATTAACCACTGACTCCTCAGGCTTCTACGTCCTTGACTCTTCAGGCTTCTACGCCCTTAACTCATGAGACATAAAGGCAAGCATGAACTTAGCATGCTTCCCTGTTGGGCGCTGTAAATGCTTCTGCACTTCACCTTACACAAGGATGTACGGGGGTGCCCAATAAATAAAAAAAAAACACAGACAAACATGAAAAAATACTAATTATCTGTTGGCCATAATTACAGTTGATTATTGAGATCATTTTCTAACCCTTGGGATACAGTCTCTCTCCTAAGTTAATGAAATAGTCTGATGTAAGCCACATTAATATGGATAAGTGATTGCGGTCATCTAAGGGTGTAATACAGGGTGTAATACAGGCATATGGTGCACAAAAACTGACAACTACAACTTATTAAAAGAAAAACTTGTCTATATTTCATTGAACTTGACAACTAGTACAAACTGTGTTTACATAAACCTTCATATCAAATGAAACTAAATAGGAATCCCTATTCAAAATACTGTATACTATACCATATTTTATGGCATAATAGATGCACGGCCATATAAGATGTACCCCCTATTTTAGCAGGGAGTATTTAGGAAAATCCTGTCTCCATAGTTTTCTTAATGCAAGATATACAGTACCAGTAATTGTGAAGAATAAATAAAAATAATACCAATAAATAAGTTTAAGACAGTTGCCATTTGCATATACCCAGTACTGTACTGTACATCTCTACTCCCTGTTTTCAATAGCAACGCTCCTCCCCCGCCACCAACCACCTAGCCATCCTCTCGCTTCCCCACTTAGCCAGCTAACTTGTGTGCAAAGAAATGGATATTCCTTTTATGTGTTATGTGTTTGCCTTTAGGACAATTATTTATTTTACTTTTTTCACAATATGTATGCAGGATGGTGTGTGCATGTGTTTCAGTAAAAATAAATGAAGAAAGTTACATATATCTACTCGAAAATACGAGTTGAAAAACAACAGCTTGGCCCAATAGCCTGGGTTCAGAGACAAGTCTAACCTGGCTACAATGCTGCCAGCGATGTTAACAGATGTAGTAAATGTGAAAAGAAAGTGATCGGCAAATCTTCATTTGTATCAGGTATTTGTAGATTGAGAAATAAATGTTGCAGGTATAGCATTAATAGATTGTAATGCTTTTATGAGTTCAGAAATGGTTACTGCTTACCTACCTTTGAAGAGTTGGGTATCTGCCATATGGATGTTAATCATCTCAGGTTATCATCATCAGTACAGTACAGAGTAGTTATTCTTCTACCTTTTATATTTACAATAATTATTTTTAATTAATTGAAAATAATAATGTGTTTAAGTAAGATTATCATATTTTTTATTCTGGAGATGGGTTCGGTAGAATTTAGCCTACTGGAGACAGTAACGGAATGGGGGATTTATTAGCTTGCGGGAGATGGCCACTTCACATGTACTGTAGGATGCAGGCTGATTTTTTTTTAGCCATTTTTCAGACAAAAAAGTGCATCTTATATGCCATAAAATACGGTAATTCTAGTGAACTTCATCACTGTATTAGGTTCATGCTAGGAGTCTGCATCTTTAAAAAATAAACTTGTCTTTATTTAAATGAAATAAACATGTACTTAATAAAGTCATTATTAGCTACACATCAAGCTATATAAAGTTACATATGAAAATTATACACTACAATGATTTAAGCAAATATTGAAAATAGGCTAATGCTAATAGACCACATCTTAAGCTATACTGAATAAGTTACAAATAAACTTTACTGTGCTTTGATTTCACCGAACTTATCTATGATGCCGTCAGCATCAACACTCACTTGAAATGTTTTCTCAGTAGAAAGTAAGGAGAGGTTTGAAAGATAGTCCTGTTTCATAGATGATCTTAGGTGGTTTTTAATTATTTTTTGCCTGCTAAATGTTCATTCAAAAGAAGCCACTGAGACAACCACAGGTAGCAGCTAAACAAGAGCTATGCGAAGATCAAAGAAAACATCTTTACCGTACATGATAATGACGTCTGCAAGTTCTCTAGTATTTATTGGTACTGCAATATGACTGTCTTGGTGATTCATAAGCAGCAGGCTGCAGTCCATTGCATCCTGATAGAATGATTTTGCCACAACATCAGATGAATAAAAGCTTGCAAAATTTGAGCAGTACAGGTATTCTTTTAACAGAGTTGGATCAAGACTAGAGCTGAATATATAATTCATGTTTAGCAAATTTCCAAATCTATGATAAAAATCACGCAATCAGGTACGCCTACTAATAATTTCCTCCCTCAATTTGTTAGTTACCTTTGACTTCACAGAACTTAGTTCTTGCTGCAGAGAAAAGCCCACATCTTCTACATTTTCTTCAGGCACACTTTTCTTCTTTCTGATTTTATGCCATTTTTATTTCATAGTCCTCTGCAACTTGAGACAAGCTACAACAGCCTCTTCAACTAATCCTTGTTGGTTGTCTTCCATAAATATGCGAAGATTTTCCATGTCACTTGCAGCTTCTTTAATATTCATCTGTGGATCTTGGAGTCTTTTTGTACATCATTCACTCTCTCAAGTATCTTACTCCAAAATTGAAGCAGAACTACAAAGGGATAAGTCAAGAGACTGTTTCTCAAGCAATCAGCATTGCTTCTCGTTTCCTTATTCTCTAGATTTGCAAAGGCTCCAGGAACATCCAATTTTTCATGCAGTCCACTATTTCAAATATTCTTCTATGTATTCCATAAGGTTAGCTGTATAATTTTCTTTGTAAAAAGAAGATGAAGATTAAAGTTAGTAGATACATTTCTTTCAAAGAAGGAAATGGTAAAATTACCCAATTCTAGGCTGGCATCATTTTACAACAGTCAGGTACTGGATGCAATTTGAGTTACTTGACACCCCCATGGGACACACACACACACACACACACACACCCAGAGAAATATATGTGCAAATAATAGACAAGTTACTTTTTCTTTTTTAAAAGTTGCCTGATTCATTCTCAATGTTTCAATGTTTATGGTTAGTACAACTTCACCTGTATTTGTGTCCTTGGTATAAGATATCATCCAATATACACACACATCCTTTGTAACACTATTATGCTTATTTTTCCTAAGTTTTTATTTAGAGTGAATTTAACAAAGAAGATGCATTAAAAAAAGGCACCATTATTCTAATTAAACTAAGTTTCATACTATGATCACAAAAAAATGCTTAATAATGTTACTGATAATGATAATGCTTACCTTCAAGGGTAAATACAGTATGATGGTACACCACAGTAAACACACAAAATCATCTGGACGGCGCCCCACCCAAGGCCTGTGCCCATGGGCCATGGCGTCCTACTGCCCCCTCCCTTGCTATGCCCCTGCCTATGGAAATTTAAAAACTACATTGTTTGTCATCGATCATATTTTTGGTTTTGTCACATTTACAAATGTGAGACTAACTCAACTTTTATCCTCTTCACCACTGATCGGCTCATTAGCCGCTCGGGCGATCGGTCACGTCTCTGTTACTTTTCTTTTTCAAGACAGCTAATGTGATGGGGCTAACTCAAGACAGCAATCATGGTAGGGCTAACTCCTGACAGCAATCATGGTAGGGCTAACTCTTGACAGCAATCATGGTAGGGCTAACTCAAGACAGCTAATGTGATGGGGCTAACTCAAGGCTGTTAATATGGTGAGGCTAATTGAAGACAGCTAACATGGTGGAGCTAACTTAAGACAGCTACCTCGGTAGGGCTAAACCAAGGCAGCTACCTTGGTAGGGCTAATCCATATAATGTACTGCACACCTTCATTCAGTCATTGCTATTACTGGGTATTTTGTTTCCTCATCTTGAATTGCTCTTGCTTACTTCTGCCTATTATCACCCTTATGAATACTGTATTGTGTTAAAATAACCCTATTCTTTTTATAATTCTTTTTATGTATCATTATGTAATTCAAGTGGATTCTGCTTGACTCATGTGATACATTTGACACTTGCTTCACTTATGTGATACAAGTGGCACCAGCTATAACCAATATACAGAATTCTCCAAGATGTCCAGTGCTTTACCGAGACCTTAAACATTTGACTGTTACTCCAAGGCCTTCAACACTTGAGGGTGGGGGGGTGACTATAAATTATATACATTACATTGACACAATTTTTCACAGGTACTAATGTTCCTGGACCCTGATCATAAGTCAGAACAGTGTTAGTTCCATAGTTTAGGTTAGGTTAAAGCACACCCTCTCCCATACAAAACAACAGTAATATCCCATACATAACAAATAATGTAAACACTGTAAATAAAGTGATGTTAAACAATATAGAAAATTGAGAATAATGTAAAAAATGGGATTTGAATTACAAATTTTTGATGAATGCATTGGGATCCCGTTCATAAGTGTGGGTGTTCATAAGTCGGATGGTCGTAACTCTGGACTGCCTGTACTCTTATAATTATACACTTTATAAACTAAGTACCTGGCCATTTTTTGCAGTGATATCACAATCATGGAAGATGTAGCAGTGAACAGTGATGAAAGTGACACTCAGAGTGCACCAGAGACTCCCAGTGATGTAAGCAGTGCCCCTACCAGCCAAGGCATAACCCCAACTACAACTACCACTGCAACTCAAGTACCTAGTTCTGCAGTCCTTGATGAGGTTAACTCAGCATCATCATGTAGGGCCCCAGTGGTTGCAAACAACACTATAAATTGCACAAATGGTCCTTCTGTTACACCCCCATCAGAACCAAGTGAAGAAAAGGTGACCCCATATTTTCACAGTATCCTGCAACAAGTAGCTGAAGGGGGCTCTGGAGGGGAACAGGCATCCTCTAATGCTCAAAGAGTAACTATCAACATGAGAACTTTTAAGGTATGTTTATTCCACCCACAGTGGGGTGTGCCCTTTATATTCACTAAATAGATTAATTGTATATTTAATAGCAGGACATAATTTTCAGTTATGACCTGCAACCCTTCACTAAGCAATTAGTCTGTTTCCCCTTCTGTAAGCGTTATCATTAAAAGAAAAGAAAGAGCGAAGATTTGCTATCATAAAATAAGCTAGTTCTGTAGTCTCAACACACTGGTGAAATGTCATTGGACAGCAAGTGAGAACTTGAATAGCATTGGATTAGGGTGTGCACAAGAGCACACATTTTCCTTTGCTCTTAGTTTTTGAGTGCAACTCAGTCATCGTCAGTCATTAGAACAAGACACACACTCTGTGTAGTTATGGTGGTGCCTTGCATTAATATACTGTATTTAATTTACTTATTTGTTAATTAATAAGTTACTTGCACAATATTTACACTTTCGTCGTCACCTGAAAATTATTTAACGAGCCTGTCACAAGACCACTTTTGAGCCTGCAGAATGACCAGAAATTGGGGAGATATTTTTTTCCCGAGCACTATTTGTGTTTAAGATATTGTCAAATATTTATTCAAATGATGTCTTCCTATGTACCCACATCAATGCATCAGTCAATATAAAATGCACATGACAAGAATGAGTAAATAGAGTTACAGAATAAAAAAATAAAAATAAGCGGTGGTTAGGCGTGCAGTGGCTGAAATGCAATGGCATACCGTGGTTGCACTGATAAGGCATGCAGAACACCCACATAAATCAGTTATCAAATCAAATTTCAAGTAGGATATGGCCTTTCCCTAAATAAGGGTTGTCAAGCTTTTATAAACACCTAAGAAACTATACTAAAATTAAAATATCTTACCTCAAATCATTTTGCAGTCAAAAAATATTTACTTATATTAAAATTCAGCTGTCCGAGGATTATTTTTCTCTGTAAACGTGCACGAACTGAAACATTTTCTTTTCAGTTCACTTAACACATCATCGTCACTTAATTTTTCACATTCTTGATCATTCATGGTTTTAACAGGGGCAGTTTACTATCACTAATTAGTTACTGAACATATCACCAGTCTATTGACTAGGCCACCAGGCTATATACTGCCTATTTCCTACTGTTTATGTTTGGCTAGTTGCCATTTAATTAAAAATCTAAATTACGGCTTCATTTAGTTTCTAAATTTATATCAGCGGCATCTGACAAAATATCTATTATGAATCATTAAATAATGGGTGCAAAAATACTTACGGCAAAAGAATATTAATCTTTCAGTGTGATCTACAGTAATTTAGAAACAAATGTCTAGTTAAAAAAAATGACGAGGCATCATGCACACCTTGCCTCTCAGACAAGATAGGTTTTGGCATAGACACGACAATGGCATTATGAATACGTATCAAATAAGCACAATATTAATTATAATTCACCATACCCACATGCATCCCTTAACTGCACTGTATTTCACTATCACTTATTATTTTTCCAAGCTAGGTCTATATATTATGACATGCTTTTGTATTGTATACCGGTATGCAACTGTATTGTAAGTAGCCATTTCTCCAACGTCTCATATATTAAAAAATATTTCACTATTTCATTACAATTATTTTACTGCACATCACTTTACCACTTCATAATAATAAATATTCAGTTGGAAAGTGATAAATATATTGAGAAAGCTGTGATAAGGCCATGGTGGCCATTTTTACATCTCGCCTGGGGCCTACACACCCACCGCTTAGGAAGCCGATGGACACTGGCAACTGGTGCAATAATACCTGGCTTACTGCACCAAGACATGTTGCCACTTACGGGTAGCCTTAAGACTTGGTTCGACCTAGGTGAGTAGCATGACAAAGTGGCTTTAAAATTTGAAGTAATTTGACCAGAAACTTTTCGAGAAAATGAAAAAATGCTGTACTGGCGTGTCTGATGATGAGGCAAAAGTTTCATTTACATTAAATCAGAACAACACATGCATTTCTGATTGCAAGACTGTTAATGTCTCAGTGTATATATTTTAGTACAAATATGTCAGGTAAATGTTCTATTCAGTTTTCATAGTGTATGTATGTATGTATGCATGTACAGTATATATATATACTTCATATATATATATATATATATATATATATATATATATATATATATATATATATATATATATATATATATATATATATATATATATATATATATATATATATATATATATATATATATATATATATATATATATATATATATCCATTACGACTGCTTGACTTACAACATCTTCTGGACTTACGACCTCCGCAGTCGTGACCATTTTTTTTTTTTTTTTTTTAAATGACACGCATTTTCCATACAGCAGTTTCCAGTTAATGTAGTCTCCATGTATAATTAGAAAATTTTGGGAGCCATGTGCATTCAGGTGACTACATTAAGGTAAGTGCTCAGTCACACTGTATCCATTCCTCATTATTTATTACTTTTATGTATTGTATTTCATTGTAGATTTTTATTAAAAAAAAAAAAAAAAAATATTTTTTTTATCTGTCGGACTTCTGACCATTCGGACGTCTGACCTGGATTTGGGTCCCTAACCGCAAAGTCGGGGTCTAGCTGTATATATCTAATCAACAACCTCATCATCAGGACTCGAACCTCGACCTCTCGTGCGGGACCAGGAGCTACCGACCATGTCTTTGTGGCATGGTGGGTAGCGTTCTTATACGCAGTATCGAATCTAACTGATGAGTGATATTTTCAAATCACGTGTTATATGGACTAAAAATTATATATATATATATATATATATATATATATATATATATATATATATATATATATATATATATATAGTCATCTTGTGGTTAACGTCTGATCGCATATCGTTCGTGGCCCAACCCCCAAAAAAAAAAACGTGGCGCCTGCTGGTCACTCGACCCCCTGACGGAACAGGTGATCCTCACTGGTCAGATATTATGTTAAAGAATATTTCCCTTAGGCTTTAATAACATTTGCCTTTAGGTGAAATGTTAACCTATATCTAAAGATAAAATCTTTCTAAATTAAATAACACATTTGCTGTAATCAGACATATCTAGTTGCAACAATTGCAAGTTGCAATTGGGGTTGCAATTTCAAAATCTGTGGCATTACTAAAAATAGTAAAGTTTCTGGTGCACTCTAAGATTAAGAGAGAAAACAGAGGACTCAGGCGTCCTGATGTGAGAGAAAACGGACTCGTATGATGGGGGACCACTTTACTGCATTTTTTAGTTTGTATGTAATTTTTGGTGAGCTGGAACCAATTACCCAAAATCCCATTGAAACAATGGTTTCGGTTAATGAAATTTTCGGTTAACGAAGCAGACCTTCTGGAACAAATTCTGTTCGTTAACCGAGGGACCTCTGTATGTTAACTAAATTTCAGAATGATCAATAATTTTAATATAAAAAATGCAGAAATATTCAAGAGACCAACTTTCTTGATATTTACAGTAAAAATTTGGTTTATCGGGTTTTCGTTTGCCCGTTTCACATTCTGAGGTCCCGCCAGACCGAATGCCAAATTTACGCAGTGCATGTATTCATTTACGAGTGAAGTAATATTTTTTATTTAGCTCATAAAATTCATACAAATCTAAATTGGTCAGAATATAATTTACAGTGCTGGAATTCTTAAATATGATGATCATTTTAAATATAAACATCATGGATTTTGCATTAGACTTACAAATTTTAGACCTAATGTAAAATTTTTTAACAAATATGTTATCTTTAAAAAATATAGGTATACAGTAGTACCCGATTTACACTGTCAATTGAACCCATTGAGTTGAAGAGGTGGCTAGAGTAAAAGTGAACAACAGAACAGATGGGATTATTTCAATAGAACTGGCCCAATCCCCAAACTCCACTTTACGTCTCACACAAAACTATGTTGTACTAAAAAATATTATCTTAACTTTTTATGATGGTATGCACAATACACATAATATAGAAGAGGTTAGGTTAGGAAAAAATAAAGGTTAGGTTAGGAAAATAAAGGTTAGTTAGAAAAATAAAGGTTAGGGTTTAACACTTACGTTAGTAGAAGAGAGATGGGTCGGCATACCGGGATGGAGGCTTGTCTGAGGCAGAGGGCAGATTACTGGCCCTCAGGTGAATCACCATCACTATCCACCATAGTTGTAAGGGCCTCCCTAACAAATCCCTCAAAGTCACCTTCACTGTCACTATCACTGGTTCCTGGGCTGGCTGTGGTGGGTTGCGCTAAGAACTCCGTAATGCTTTTTGATCGCTAGTGTTGATGTTAGCCTCGATACCTGATGCACGGCCAGTCTACAGCCTGCACCAGCTGGTTATGGAAGACTTCATAGCGTCATCGGCTCATGGTCATTGGAAAAGGAAGAGCTTCAGTTTCTCTCTGCACACTCGATGGCACCCTTTAACATTCCTAAGTAAATTTGTGTTCTTCTGGGGTTAACGACCACCTGCCTCTTCACTGACGGATCATCTTCCAACATCTCGCCGTAGCCAGCTTCTTGCGATCTCTGATCACCTCCAGATATCTTCGGTGGTCTCGAGAAGTCTTCAGCTGTAATGCTGTGTGCAGCTTCTCTTGCAAGGTCCAATGCCACTGTAACAGACTCAACTCACCAGCTCACAGGTTGACTACTTCCTCACCTCAGATACCATGCAACATGCCTCCATGCGATCTAATCAGAGCTACAGACAGCCGATCCATGCTCCACCCAAGAAGTCCGCAGTTTGTTTGACGTTAAATTTTTCCAAAACTGTTTGACGAGAAACTTTGAATCACCACCTGCTTTTCGTTCCTTGTCCTCAGTCTCGCCGCTTTGCTCTCGCTATTGGTGTCACCCAGCTTACGCTAATTCATCCTTGGTGTTGGTGTAACAGTCGTGCTCAGGAGCTTAAACTTTTGCAGAGTATGCAGCTTCACATTGCATATCAACCTCTGGCCCAGGCTACTACTGCTTTGCGTTGGG